TACGTAAAAAGTGGAATAAAAGTGAATGGGAAGGAATGCAGAGGGAAATAATAAAAAACATGTTTTGTATTCATTAGAATAAATAAAGCATAATAAGGCTTTAAGAATTAATCGATTCAAACGACCTTTATCTCAAGGAAAGATGAGTGCGAAAATTTTTTCTTTTAGCTCAGATTTCTTCACAGAAATTTTTGTTTTCGATTTTCTCATAACAAAATCCTCACTATGCCACTAACTAAAAGATAGAATTTTTATTCAACAGTATTTTTTATGGTAGGTAAATAACATCCACTATAAAATAATTATTTTCACGTATTGTCAAACAATTCTCTATATATTCGATAGTGAAAAGACAAATAATAATTAGTTTTAAAAATATTTTGTTTACATACAGTTGGACACTATTTATTTTGAATTAATCGATCAAGAACAAATCGGTGTCTAAAAATTTAGAATAATAAATAATAAATACTTGATAGTAATATAAACGTCATTTGGATTCGTGTTATCGTAAGTAAATGATAATAATAATGCGATTGCTTTTCGCCCTTTTGAATGAGAATTTTTTATGATTCTGACTCTTCGAGTGCATGCATATTAATTATGATTTGTTGCCATTTCTTTCTCTGTTTGGCGACTGACTCAAGCATCTTCAAGTCGTCAATTGTTTTCAGCTGATCTGGCAGTTCCGAGGGGATTGCTGTTGCTAACTTTGACTGTTATTGTTGTTTGTTTTTAAGGCATTTGATGTCTTGATCTATGAGTATAGGGAGTGTTGGTCTAGGTCTGCCTACGAAGCCTTTTGATTCGTTGTCGTTGTTGAAATAGTGCAGCATTGTCATTTTTACAGGTGTTTTATTGGTCATTCTAAGAGTGTGACCAAGCATTCGCCATCTGACTGCTCGTATTTCTGACTCTAATTTACTTGTATCACATCTTCAAGTAAATGATAGTAAAACTGAATATTTTTGCATGTGTTAAACAAAGACGTAACAAGAACTTTGTATGAAAAATATCTTATAATCATTTAAAGTCCGTATTAACTATCATGCACCATCGAAGACGATATCGGAACAGATTTTTAGGCACAAACACAAACGAGAAAAAAACAACTTGTTTTATATAGAATAAATAAAAATATAAAAAATATAAAATATAAAAAATAAAATTTAGATAAAGATCATTATTTATTACATTTTCATTAATTTAACCAAGAATATGTCTTTTTTGCTATGCAACAGTTTGTCCTTCATTTAAAATATAATCTAGAGATATCCTTTCGAAGATCTTGACATTTTCATTGAAATGTGTAAATCAGACGTCAAATTTCTTTCAACGAATAGAAGGTTTGTTTTTTTATTTGAACTATGAGAATTCAAATAGAAATGTCATATTCAATTCAGGGATCACAGATCGTCTGATTTTAAAAGAAAAATTCTGATTTTGGGACTGTTTTCTGCTCCATGTCTGATTTTCTGATTTTAGAATCATTGTTTGATATTGAATGAAAATTTAATTTATAATTTTTTTTTCTAAAAAAAAAAGAATGGATATGAGAAGAAACAACTTTCTGATTTTTTTCTGACTTTTGTCTGATTTTCAACTTTTCTTTTCTGATTTCCGTCTTTTAGATCTGGAATCCCTGATTCAATTTTTACAGATATGAAATTTGATTACACCTCTTAAATCGCATCTTGACAAAAATATCTCATCCTTATTTCTATCAATAATCTTCTATTCTAAATTGTAGGCATATAATTAATCATATGAATTACTACTACAATTAAATTTGTATTGACGCTCTACTTTCGTCGTGTCTTATAAGTTCATTTTACAGTGATTGATAGTTTTTCTCTATTATTAATGAAAATGACTTTATCGAAAAAGTAATGTGATTATTTGTCAGTAATTTATTTACTGTTGTTGAAATAATAAGATCAAATTAGATCACTATATTTTGCGCCATATTGTTACATTACAACTACAATAGAAATTGATCTTTTTGACGAGTTCATGGTCTTATTATTGCATATATTTCTTCAAAAGAAACAATGGAATGATGATTATTTAACTTTCAATTGTTGATAAAAAGAATATCAATTTACCTTTAATGTTTGTCGTTGCTCTCAACAACAAGGTCATCTATCATGCATGTCATACATTTAACTTCTCCAGTTTTCCCTTTGTAAAGAGAAAAGAAAGAAGTTGAAGTTTTTTGAATGATTTTAGAAGGAAAAAATCATACTTGATTTTCTTCGAGTAAATTTAAACATACAGATAAAAAATACATGTGATTTTTGTCGTTTCTTCCCCGTTGTCTGTTTTGATTCTTTTAATTCATGAAAAAGGAAAAAAAAAAAAAAAGAAAAAAAAGGGTAAGAATAAGATGGCCAATGATCATTTTATTATTAGTAGACAATAATGTTGATGAGAACATCAAAACATCTTCTCTAACTCAAGTTTATTTATTTATTTATTTATTTTCAACTTAGATAAATTATATTTATTACAAATTATGATCATTTTTATTTGTCAGCTGTAACGGTAATAAATTTAAATCACATTATGAAAAATTGGAATTTTTGATCCTTTTGTCATTAATCTCCTAGTAATCATATATAATCAAGTTAAACACTGATGGTATGTAATTATGATAGGATTGAAAATATTTTTGTTTTTCATTTATTTAATGGGAAAAAAAAAGGCTAACTCTGAAGGATCATAACCTCTAAGGTTTTTAACTAGTAAATATGCTATTTTTGTTTATTTTTATTGTAGCCACCAAAGAAAAGCAAAGAACATGCTGATAAGAAACCGCCTAAAAGTGACAAACAAAAAAAAGCGGAAGCTGAGATGATGAAGACTTTGTTAACACAATATGTATGTAGCATTTAAATTCACATCTCTTTTCATTATATTTTGTAAAATACTATATAATGTATATTTTTTAACAGGCTGGCATTCTAACTTCGGATGATTTGAAATGTATGCTTTACTATATTTTTAAAAAATAGTCATTATTTATCATCTTTTCTCTCACAGCAATGAAAGAAACCTTCGATACTTATGATACAAAAAATCAGGGTATTATAAAAACATCAATGCTCGGTAAAATTATACGTACACTCGGTTTTAACCCATTGGAAAGTGATATACAACGCATATCAAAAGAACTAGATCCTTCCAGTTAGTAGATTAAAAAAGAAAAGAAAAAATTTTTAAATCAAATAAAATAATATGTTTTATTATTTTTTTTTCAAGATTCGGATGCTCTCAAATTTCCCGAGTATGTTGCTGCCTACACTCGTATACCTACATCTGTTACAGATAAAGACATTTTACCAGCATTTCAAGTATTTGATACGGAAAAACGTGGTGTTTTAGAAGCTGAAGATATGTTAAAAAATTTAATGAATATTGGAGAAAAATTAGATGAAGTTGAAGGTGAGGCATTTAAAGAAAATATCAATATAAATGATCAAGGCCTATTCGATTATAACGGTAAATATGATAAAATATTTACTTAAATACTTGTTATCTCTCTTCATCTGTTTCAGAACTGATTATAAAATTCACAACTGAACAACCGAAAAAGAAAAAAGGCAAAAAGAAGAAAAAGAAATAAAAAAAAAAAGTTTGTCATTAATACTTACTATTCATACGGAAAAATTATTTGCAATTACTATGTACAATTTTATATTATAAAATAAAACAAAATAACAGCCTTTTAAATGTGATTATTAGTGACGAGATCTATTTCAACTAGGCAGCTAATATTTCTAAAATTTTTGTTTAAGTATTACACTCACCGATAAAATATATTTTATTTTTTTTTTTGTTTGTTTCTAACACCTTTTAAAAATAATTATACAATGTGAAGAGAAAAAAAGGATTTAAGTAAATATTTTATCATATTTACCGTTATAATCGAATAGGCCTTGATCATTTATATTGATATTTTCTTTA